GCACCATTCATGATTTTTGTAATGTTTATTATTTCTCGCAACTACGTTATCTCGGAGAAGGGGAGATAACTATTCTCAGAAACGGAACCTTGCGTAGTAATATGAAGTTGTCATTGTGTGTGAAATCAGCTGACTGTTTGCACGATAATCGTTGTATTCATGGTCTAATGTCAGTTGTTTGCAGTTGGTACATTCATGTACGGAACAAACATCAAGAATGTAAATATATTCAATTTAATTTAAAACTAACCAGTACTTCTCTTAATTTTTAAATCCATGAGCTCTGAATGAGTTTGACCCACCTATCCCTCTATTGCAGTTCAGACCAAGGCCAAAGTGATAAGTATAGTTGTTAAAATTACAATTTGATAATTATATATCGTGTATGAGGATTGTTTGTTGGGGTATGCATGTACAATTTAAAGACAAGCCCAAGTGAGTATTACGTATATCGGAATACATCACACTGTCCAAAGTGTACGTATGTTCGGAATAAGTGGTATCTGGGTAAATTGACCGGGAAATGTATATGCCACACATACCGCCGTCATTCGCTATTGCATGTTAGCTTAGACACCTCCTCCTCCTTGTCGTCGTCCTCGTCGTCACATATCCAGGCAGGTACCAGGAATTTCAATTATGCCCCTTTGATTTGCTTGTAGTATTACCTTACTATGTCAGGAGAATATCAACCAATCAGAAGTGAGGTCGGAATGGAAGACGTACCTTTGACCTTATAAAACCTGACATACATGTATAAGTGTCATCTTTAATTTCGACTGAGCATTGATATCAAACGAACGTAAACCATACCTTGTAAAACTCCATACATAAATGTAGATAAATAGCGTCGAGAAAGTGACAACCAATCATAAACAAGAGAGAGCTCGTGGATTCCACTCTCCCCCAAACTCTGCGTGACAACTGCTGTTAAACAAGCACATATCGAGTGTTGATGAAATCTGTTCATATTAAGGGACGTTTTGCCCGGATTGCGTTAACCAATACAAGCTATAAGAAGTACCCGGGGCCGTAGCCTACTAAATACAGGAATGTGCAGTTTCTACTTTGTAACAGTGCCGAACTTCGCCGGAGCATTGCCATAGCAACTACGTTATCTGTTTGACTGACATCACTATTTGTTCATGAGTTTCTTGTATGGAAAGTGATTTTTGACAGACAGACAATTGAAAACAGTGTTAGACAATGTAAAACGAAGGATAACGAGGGACAACGAGCCACATGATATTGATATTGACTTAGTACATTTGTACGTAACGAGCGACAACGAGCCAGATGACATTGTTATTGTGTTAGTACATTAGTACGTAACGAGGCACAACGAGTCAGATGACATTGATATTGTGTTCGTCCATTTGTTTGTAACGAGGGACAACGAGCCAGCTGACACTGATATTGTGTTAGTACATTATTACGTAACGTGGGACAACTAGCCAGATGACATTGATATTGCGTTCGTACATTAGTACGTAACGAGGCACAACGAGTCAGATGACATTGATATTGTGTTCGTACCTTAGTACGTAACGAGGGACAACGGGCCAGATGACATTGATATTGTGTTAGTACATTTGTACGTAACGAGGGACAACGACCCAGATGCCATTGATATTGTGTTAGTACAGTAGTCCGTAACGAGGGACAACGAGCCAGATGACATTGATATTGTGTTCGTACATTTGTTTGTAACGAGGGACAACGAGCCAGCTGACATTGATATTGTGTTCGTACATTAGTACGTATGATAACAGTTGATTTCCCTTTGCATCACATGTCAGACAGTGGTGTCCCTGACACTGTGTATACGGGCCTATTACGACAGAGATAGTAAAACAGACACTACTGTTGACGTCAGAAGGTGCGCTATGTGGTGACAGCCGTTTGTTAAAACACTCAATTCCCGACAGACATACATGTAGTGCCAGTCAGCACACTATACTCTGTTGTAACCTTGAATCTAGTGTCAATATTAGATATAAGATTATTTAGTTAAAGCAAATTGCTTTTCTTAAAAATAAAACAAGCAACAGGAAGGGCACGTAACAGTTTGGGTGAAGGTAATGTCCCTGTCCCGCCCCAAACAAACACTAGATAGTTCCACTGTAATATTTCACACATACAAAAACCCAACATCCCCCTTCCCCCACCCCCTTAATTAAGTCTTAGATATTATTTTAGTGGAATTGGGCCGAGGTACTACAGTTGGTCATTCAGCTGAGTTGGTTAGAGAGGCTTTTTGTGATCGTAGGTCCAGGGTTTTGAATTATCGTCTGGCTTTTCTCATCTTTATTGTTTTATTCATAAAAGTTACACAAGATTATTACAGTTATTACCATGCTGTTAAAAAGTTTCCAATTAAGAGGTATAGTTACTAGCAGTGGTACGGGGATACTTAAGTGTCAATGTCCTGGTAAGTGTTTCCTGAACTTTCTAGGGTTAATTACTGAACCGTTTAATCTCTTAGCCAACTACTACACTGTCAGTTACCTCTATTGCCTTCCATTTGAGGGTTTATTTTATTTCACATATTTACGTGTAATATTTTTTTATGATCATCAGATGATTGGTTGTTTAAATCGCCTGTAGTGCGTGGATCGCCGTCCGTCATGCAGTCAATCAGTTTGTGCTTCCTATTTCTCAGAACCTACCTACGTTGTCATGATGTAAAACATCCTGCTACATTAAGCAGGTGGTCATGCTTATATCAGCTAGATTCATTGCCGCCGGGGCATTAAGGTACACCACAGGTGTATGTGTTTTATACGCATAAACTGAAGCCTGTTACTTTTCAGGTATTTCATTATATAACTGACCCTTTCATGGCAACTACAAGACTAAATCAACACTCCTTCCGATGGTCAGAAATTATCCCCTATTCCAACAGCAAATTTAATCACAACTATCATCGACCCAATCCACAACGCCATCCTTAAACCAAACCCAAAAAAACTCCCTTTACATCGACCCTAATCAAACCGTAACCGCATTCTGCAACTCCAACTTATACCGAAACCCAAACCGTTTCTTAACCGCATTCCCGAATCCTTACTTTACCCAACCTCTTATTTCCAAATCCTCATTTCGAACACCAAACTTCATCCCATCTCCATCATCGACCCATTCCCCAACACCAACCTTATTGAGGTAATAAAACATCCAGCTCTAAGGGAGGGTCAGTGACATCCAACATGACAGTTACATTGTATGACGTGCGAATAGTGATAACGTCAACAAGCGGGCAGTGGCATTCATGGCTGATATGAATGCCATCTTAACTTTGTAGGTTTGTATAGACTTAGTAGTACAATGGAGAGGTAAATATACAATTCACATTTAAACTTGCGTCGTACATTTGTAGCTAGGGCGATTGTTATCAAACTGTGTCAGGTTAGTCTCTTGTGTTGTTGTGAAGTGACTTTAAAATACTGGTACTATAATGTTACTTTTCTTTTTCCCTTCGTTGACATTCTTGCGTCACAGTGTTCTGGTACGGATGCATGTATTGTAACATACACACGTTATCTACCTACGGTGTGGGAGTGAACCAATCCCAACCACCAGTAAGTTTAATGACACTATTTGTTTTGTAATAATCAAAGCCTGCAGATACAAAATAGATAGAATACCGACTGCCACAACAGGTGATCAAGGTGATTTTGAAAGTCCAATTAAAAACCTGTACTCCTGCATGTACCTTTCCGTAGCTTTATGAATGACGTCATGTCCTGACGAGTGCGTACAGGCTGCTTGCCCTCTGGCATCGCTTTATATATAATTGTAAATCACTGTAGCTAGGATAATTTAAGGACGGTTTAAAAAAAAGGTATTACCAAGTGAATAATAAACGCGTTAAACTAGAACAAACACAATGTATCGATATACATCTGTATATCTGCATTAACATTTTTAATTAAAAAAACAATGTGCTCACTTCTTCTTCTTTCTAGTAATTATTTTAGATGCATGTGAATCTATGAAATGAAATATTAAAGATGATTCATTGATATTTTCATTTCGAATTTATTCGTCATAAAGCTGTTTTTAAAAAGGAAAGGTGAAATCTTAAAATAAAATAGAAATATTCCTGTGAAAGTCGTCGGGACATTTAAATATTTCCAGCGCTATGGTACGCAGTGGTTGGATGTTTCCTAGTGCAAAATATATTGTCGAAAGGCCTCACCTTGTTGTGATTCACCGCAGTACAAACAGCGACTGTCGGCATGCACGTATTGGCAGGTGTACTTAAATACTCGACGTCTGCATGAAAAAACAGATTGCATAATTTAAACATAAACATCTGTAGATGGCGAAAAAGGCAATTCGATTTATGGTTTAAAAGAAGCTGCATATTACGCCAGTACTGCTAGCCTACAACGACCAGGTACAGCAACGCTGTTATCGGAAACATGACCTGTTTAATTTTGCCAAAACTTTTCTTTGGTGACAGTTCCCAAAGTTTGGAGAATCGCAAAAGGATCAGCGAATTATATATTTGATATATATTTCCTTGTTTTACAAGATATTAATAAACGAAATGTTATTAATGGAATTGTTTTAACATTATATGCTAGATTTACAGGTAAACAGTCGGTGATCGGAATAACAAGGTTCCTTTCTACTTTGTCTCTCTATTCGAAATGTAAATAAAGTATTGAAAATCATTTGAAGACAAAGAGACAGTATATCAAATAAGAAATACATTAGTATGATACAGAAATTTAGGGATGGGGCTATTTCATAGCGTAGATTCACCTTAATATTTTGTTTTTCTCCGACTAGTGCCGTTTTCGCTTCATATGTAGGACAACGACAAAGCAATATTTTGGAAGCCATAAAGCCACGGGCCGCTTGGTCCTCTTCAGAAACCTCAGATATTATTTGGGCTGTGTTTTAAGATTTGTCGGCTGTATATATACCGCAGTAAACACTGAATATGTTCCAGTTTTAACAATGTGTAACATTTACTGTGTAATTTACAGATTTCTATGGGTGGTAAGATTGAGCTGTACGAATCAGAAGATTTCCAAGGCAACAAACTACAGCTCGGAGACGACTGCACGTGCATCCAGTTGAAAGGTTTGGAGGATGTTCGTTCGGTCAAGGTCATCGGCAAGGATGTGTAAGTATGACGGGCATACCCAATATTATGTGATAAGTCAAATATCGCAAAACAATATAAACCAACACTACAGCTAAACCCTTGAAGGTTCCGAGAAATACTAGGCCTGCTGTGTCCTACTGCCTGATCGTAAGAGGCGACTAATGTGAGTCCTGCGGAATCGGAGTGGCTTCTTCCATGTCTTATATATAGGGGACATTGAAGAAGTCAAGAATAGGCCTTCTGTATCCAACTGCGTATGTATCGTAAAAAGCGACTATTGTGGAGGAGACCAACAATGATCTGCTGCCCCCATTGCTGCCCCCACTGCCCCCATTGCTGCTCCCATTGCTGCCTTGCTGCCCCCATTGCTGCCCCCATTGCTCCCCCATTGCTGCCTTGCTGCCCCCATTGCTGCCCCCATTGCTGCAACACTTTCCTATGATTCCTGCCTTTTTTTCTATTTATTTTCTCTTTCAGTCGGTGCCTCCTTATGCACCCGTCCTTATATAATCCAGGCTGTTGTGTCTCCCTAGGCACCAGCCCTCATATGACCCTGGCTGTTGTGTCACCCTAGGCACCAGCCCTCATATGACCCTGGCTGTTGTGTCTCCCTAGCCACCAGCCCTCATATGACCCTGGTTGGTGTGTCTCCCTAGGCACCAGCCCTCATATGACCCTGGCTGTTGTGTTTCCCTATGCACCAGCCCTCACATGACCCTGGCTGTTGGGTCTCCCTAGGCACCAGCCCTCACATGACCCCGTCTGTTGTGTCTCCCTAGTTACCAGCCCTCACATGACCCTGTCTGTTGCCAGGAATTAAAAACACACAAACAAACACTACACCCTGGCTGTTGTGTCTCCCTAGGCACCAAGCCTCATATGACACTGGTTGTTGTGTCTCCTTAGGCACCAGCCCTCACATGACCCTGGCTGTTGTGACTCCCTAGGCACCAGCCCTCACATGACCCCGTCTGTTGTGTCTCCCTAGTTACCAGCCCTCACATGACCCTGTCTGTTGCCAGGAATTAAAAACACACAAACAAACACTACACCCTGGCTGTTGTGTCTCCCTAGGCACCCGCTCACATATGACCCTGGTTGTTGTGTCTTCCTAGGCACCCGTCCTCATATGACCCTGGCTGTTGTGTCTCCCTAAGCACCAGCCCTCATATGACCCTGGCTGTTGTGTCTCCTTAGCCCCAAGCCCTCATATGACCCTGGTTGGTGTGTCACCCTAGGCACCAGCCCTCATATGCCCCTGGCTGTTGTGTCTCCCTAGCCACCAGCCCTCAGATGACCCTGGTTGGTGTGTCTCCCTAGGCCCCAGCCCTCATATGGCCCTGGTTGTTGTGTCTCCCTAGTCACCAGCCCTCATATGGCCCTGGCTGTTGTGTCTCCCTAGGCACCCGCCCTTATATGATCATGGCTGTTGTGTCTCCCTTGGTTCCCGCCCTCACATGACCCTGGCTGTTGTGTCTCCCTAGGTACCAGCCCTCACATGACCCTGGCTGTTGGGTCTCCCTAGGCACCAGCCCTCACATGACCCTTGCTGTTGTGTCTCCCTAGGCACCAGCCCTAATATGACCCTGGCTGTTGTGTCTCCCTAGCCACCAGCCCTCATATGCCCCTGGCTGTTGTGTCTCCCTAGCCACCAGCCCTCATATGCCCCTGGCTGTTGTGTATCCCTAGGCACCCGTCCTTATATGATCATGGCTGTTGTGTCTCCCTTGGTTCCCACCCTCATATGACCCTGGCTGTTGTGTCTCCTTAGGCACCCGTCCTTATATGACCCTGGCTGTTGTATCTCCCTAGCCACCAGCCCTCATATGCCCCTGGCTGTTGTGTATCCCTAGGCACCCGTCCTTATATGATCATGACTGTTGTGTCTCCCTTGGTTCCCACCCTCATATGACCCTGGCTGTTGTGTCTCCTTAGCCCCAAGCCCTCATATGACCCTGGTTGGTGTGTCACCCTAGGCACCAGCCCTCATATGCCCCTGGCTGTTGTGTCTCCCTAGGCACCAAGCCTCATATGACACTGGTTGTTGTGTCTCCTTAGGCACCAGCCCTCATATGACCCCGTCTGTTGTGTCTCCCTAGTTACCAGCCCTATCATGACCCTGGCTATTGTGTCTCCCTAGGCACCAGCCCTCACATGACCCTTGCTGTTGTGTCTCCCTAGGCACCAGCCCTAATATGACCCTGGCTGTTGTGTCTCCCTAGGCACCAGCCCTCATATGACCCCGTCTGTTGTGTCTCCCTAGTTACCAGCCCTCACATGACCCTGGCTGTTGCCAGGAATTAAAAACACACAAACAAACACTACAACACAACAACTCAAAAATCAAAGTCGCTTTACATGTATTTAATATTAAAATGATATTATTACACATTACACAATTTTGCTCAGTCATTGGGTCATGACCGATCACGTGGAGATATTCCATGAGAGTATACATTGATGCCTTAATCCTATGGTTACACTGCTAATATAGTGTTTCTCGTGGAAAAGAATCAGTGAAAAGACCAGGAAAAGGAAAACCTATTTTCATTTTAATCGAAGCAGAAGCCAAACCCAGTAAGCGTTTTCCCTTCATAGTTGATTTAGTACACGTTGCTGGAACGCACGGTCCAAATATTGAACCATCCATGTCTGAAGCGTTCCAAATCGTATGTAGACTAAAACAAAAGGCAAATACGTATACCGTTACAAACGTTTTTAGTTAAAACAGATTATTCATATTTTACATAACCATGCAAGAATAAAGTCTATATTCAAGGCTTCGGCCAACCCCTGGGGACTAAAAGTCCACCAATAGTGTCAACCATCTTGCTAAATGTACATAAAATAATCACTTGAAATGCCAAAAACGAGGCACCTATTTCCAAATGAAAGCCAATCAGAGTACAGGTGTTGCTGGTCATGACGTCCATCAGTGGTACTACAGGTCAGAATGTAAATGTATAAATTGTCTTGTTCAACCAGACTCTTGTTGTCTGACTGTAGACTATACCAGAATTAGTTTTTGTTTCAATACTGACGTCAAACATAGCGACGAGTTTGTTTCCAATGACGACAATTATTTGACGAAGGTCAATGTCTAGTGCCATTCTAGAGCAAGACAAACTGTAGCAACGCTTCTATGTGAAATGTTCAGTAAAAAAACATGAATTGTGTACCGGAATGTTAAGACATTGATTGTGTTTGTTATTAAACATAGGCCCTAATGAAATATATAAGATTCCATTTATTTCCAATTGGCCAGAAGTGATGGTATGTGAAAGGGATTCCTTGAAGTACGTGAAACTGCTTTGAGTTATGTAAATTTCCGATATAGGATCATTATTGATCCTCAGTACTGGTCTCAGATAGGATATAACAATAAAAAATATTTCAATAGTGCGAAAAAATCTCAGCAGAAAACCGTTCGCTTATTTTGCAGACTCCTATCTGGAAGTAAGCACACAAGGACGTGCACAGGGGTCTCAATTGGTAACACTGAGTACAGCAATCGGTACCTGCTTTCACTATCAAGGCAACACATGATAGGCTATTCCACATAGAATCACCTCTCCATATATATTATTATCACAAACTTTGAGCTAATATTTGTTTAGATATATTTATTTTTTTTGCTTTCCAACATCCCATTTATGATTTAATTTCAAAACATCGTGTGACACAGGAATCGATTCTTTTGTAGAAAACTTACCATTTATTTCATCATTATTAGCTCATCATGTATAAAGAACATAAATGTGACATCGCCGAGTGTTGACAAACTAAACCCTCGAGACAGTAACACATACAGCCACTACATAAACTGATACTGTATGTTACAGGTCATACTGGGTATCCGGTGGGGGTCTATTCACTGTTAAACGTGGTATAAGGATGTACTTAAGTTGTGTATTTTAGCGCCCAGTTTGAAGGGTAAAGCACAGAACAATCGATTCCCGTAGGAAAAGCCACTTTGGCGAGATAACTCTACAACATTAATCTATAACCCGTATCTAGAAAGTGGGACCCCAGAGTTGTCACTGTTAAATACATCCACCAGTTCAGCGTCTTTTATTTCAGTTTAAACACTATTTTATTCAAGTCAGTATCAACATGTACAATTACAAAGACATTTGATTGTGATAATTGGAAAACAAGTACGATGTACTTACGTACTTGTACTAACACAAAGTCATTCTCATCGTCTGTAACAAGAGTTGCTGATAATACATGTATGCCTGCACAGTAATTGTCTGAATACTGTTGAGAATAAAATATAGATCATGATATAAGATGAAAAGTTATAAAGTAACTGATGTAATTTTGTAGGAACTCCGTTTTAGTCTCTTATTCAGCGTAAATATTTAGATATAATATATATAAACTTTATTTATTTTACAAAGATAACGACAGGTTATAGTAGCTTATATTAATAAAACTTGAATATTTGAATGAACTGACCATGTTTAGAGATTGATATTTTAGGTCTAGTCTTACAGGTTTCTGTAAATTTTACTTTGTTTGGCTCTGTGTATCGCCTTACTGTTTGTATATCCAGTGATACATTTAAGTCCAAAGTTTCCCGACACAACAGGTAGACTTTTATCTTTAATCCGTTTTAGATTTAACTGTAGCGCGACCGGGCCACAATACTACCGCTGACCAGGACACTCAGCTAATGAGAGCGACAGTATATTTATCGGAGGTCCATTGTTCGAATCCTGATCTAATCCAGGGACATTAGGACACAATACTACCGCTGACCAGGACACTCAGCTGATGAGAGCGACAGTATATTTGTCGAAGGTCCATTGTTCGAATCCCGATCTAGTCCAGGGACATTAAGACACAATACTACCCCTGACCAGGGCACTCAGTTGATGAGAGCGACAGTATATTTGTCGAAGGTCCATTGTTCGAATCCCGATCTGGTCCAGGGACATTAAGACACAATACTACCCCTGACCAGGGCACTCAGTTGATGAGAGCGACAGTATATTTGTCGAAGGTCCATTGTTCGAATCCGGATCTGGTCCAGGGACATTTGCACACCCAGAGCACTGTTTCCAATACATAGTTATAGTTTTGGCAGGGACACGGGAATTCTAAATACTGAATACCAGGAAATGTTCGCCCTATCAAACTTTCACCCTTTTCCGTTAAGTTTATTTTTGCCCAGTTTTAAATTCGCCCTTCACTTTTAATGACTTTGTTTATCATGTTACTTGACAGCTCGCTGACAGGATAAGTTTGCCCACATTACGGAGGGCGAAAAGGGCGAAAATTAAAATGCAGCGAAAATTTCCCAGTATGTAGTACTTCAACTTAAGTTACAAACGACACGTATAGACTGTACAGGAACATCTTCCAAGCTACTGCATCAAAGGGGAAAACCCCATTATAGTCCAGGTAAAGAAAGGCTATGGAAAGTATGTGCATACAATACCATTGACGATGAGTTCCACAACATATACAAATGTAACCCTATGTTAGATGTACGAACTGAGATAAAAGTCGGGCAGACCAGACCTAGTGTGCATTTAATTTTACTCACGATACTGGAAAAGCTGTAAGAATCAGCTTTCCTTGTTAACTGGTGTCTATACTATTGTATGAAGGAATGTCGCATCCTTCGTTAGCCCACGAGAATGACCTCGCTCTCAGTACCGCGGTTATACAGAAATCCTCTAGTGATGATTGTAGAATCCGGTCAACTATTTCTTTTATTGTTGACACCAATGACAAATCTTTTGCAATGCTACAGGAACAGCAGGTGTGTTTTCTATCGTTATTTCAGATTTATTTTAAAAGATTGTTTTTATGAAGACTGTCTCTTTGCTCCTCCAGAAATGTTGTTTGTAAGGATAAGGTGGTGCAGTGCCTGAGGGCGATAAGAAGAAGACATTCATGTTTTTCGTTTCTATTCATACATAACATCATAATACCCTGGATAAAAATGAAACCATTTTTATGTATTTTTTGTCATTTTTGTAGATGGGGATTTTATAAAAACAAGGGTTTCCGAGAGCGCAGTTTTGAATTGGAGGAAGGAGATTACCCAAATCTAAGTGCTATAAAAGAAGAGCATGACGTCATCTCCTCTGTTAGACCGCTGTGGTGAGTTAATGTTCCAGATGGAATAAAGAAATAATACATAGGTACTGCTGTTACCTAAAGCTTTATTTTAAATAACACACATTTTCCCTACATTTTATTAGTTGGATAAGCCAATGAAAATGCGTGTTACGAGCAAGTTTAAATTATTAACACTTTAAAGATTTAAGACTTTTATTTCGATGAATATGTTGTTGTATGGACTTGTATGGACTTGAGAAAGTGATTCAACTTCGTTAGTATCGCCTTGTCAGCCTCATATTACTACACATCCACCGCAACACAATTCACAATTGATAGATACCCATCGTTGTCAATGCTATTCATAAAATGACAAATGAGAATGTATCAGTAAATACAGTGTAGCTAGTGTTGAGTGTATTTCACTGGAACATCATTTTACGTATATTTGTAAATGACGCAATTAATACCTAACATCACTGGGCGATATTGGACAACTTGGCCATCATTTGACAACCCCAATTTCTTAAACCCCTTATCTTACTAGAACATCATTTAATGTTTACAGAAACTCTAAAACAGTTCAAATTTATTTATCGATTTAAAATCATTGTATGTTAACAATAACTCTAATGCCCAGATACCTTAAAACACTAAACTCAGTATAACAGTGTACGTCAAAAGGCACGCTCAATACTTGTTGCTGGTTGGCGCTGGTCGGCGCAGTTTCGACTTCTGGTGAGGAGTCGACGTGTTAAACAATAGTGTTCTAAGCACGAGGAGATGAAACAGTTGTTAACAACATCTAGAAAAAATATCAAATCAACCATTGATGGTTTAAAGTAAGCAAAACAAAGTAGACCTTTATTGCACTACGTAGCCATTTCATCCCAACTGACACCAAGGTATCACTATAATCTCATTACAGGATGGAGATATCGGAGATAAATTTCATGCCCCATGGTGACAAGTACCATCAACAATACGCCGCCCTTGCGGCCTGGTTTCTTGGACCTAAGGGAGAGAACAAAGATATATTTACAGACTTAGCCAAATCGGCTGTTGAGGCCCACATAGACTTTCGGACGAACTACTATCCGACAGACAAACCCTACATCACTGACGACATTAAGACAGCTCGGGCTTACAGGAACGAAGTCAAGGAACTGAAAAATGAATTAATGAAGATGACAGAAGAACTAAAAGAAACTACTCCAAACCACAGTCTGCGATACGAGGTAACGTGTTTGAACTTTTTCAATATGTTGGTTACTTAAATTGCCCTATATGCAGATGACATGTAGATGAGAGATATATCACCAACATCTGATTTGTATGTACTACTGATGAACAGAGGCAGATTCAGTGCGAGAGGGTTCAAAATTGGGAAAATGGGGATATTTGTTTGACGGAAAATTCCACAAGATGACAGGGGTTGGGGAGGGATGGGGACCCTTAATGTACCCAACACTCTACCATCCCCGAAAGAAATGATTTCATATTATGGATCAGATGCTGTTGTTTCATAGCATCAATAAACCTTTAAAAACTTTCCTTTATTTTATAATCATCTGTTTATTGACTTTCACTCTATAGCTGTACATTATATATGACAATAAAACCCTCATTAACAATATGGCTGCAGGGTCACATGCTGTGGGACACCGCTATGCCCGCTAACCTCGGCTACATAGCCGCCCTACTGTACAACTCCAATAACGTAACGAGGGAGGCCAGTCCGGTCACAACCGGCATGGAAATCCAGGTCGGGAAACAGATATGTGAAATGCTCGGGTACAGCTTTGGGCAAAAACCAGAGCCATGGGGCCACCTCACGTGCGGCGGAAGTGTAGCCAACATTGAAGCCATGTGGTCTGCTCGAAACGTCAAATTCTATCCGGTCGCAATTAAAAAAGCTGTGACGTCAGAAGAAGCGTTAAAAGACGCGCTGAACTATGAAGTGTTTGTACCGAGACTTGACGCAAAACAAAAGTTAACTGGAGTTTGTTCTTGGGACCTACTGAACCTCGATATAGATGACATTATTCGTATTCCAGAAGATATGTCGAAGTTGGGGATTTCGAATGACGTTCTCGCAGATTGTTTGTCCAAGTACAGTTTACAGGCTTTGGGATTTTTTAAATTCGCACTTGTTCATGGACTTACTGAGGCACCCGTCGTTGTATCCCCGGCCTCCAATCATTACTCTTGGACAAAGGCAGCGACTCTACTGGGCATTGGATCCGAAAACCTGATCTCCGTGATGTTTGATAGGAATGCCCGGATGAGTATAGATGGTAAGTGGTGTGCGTGTTTATAATAAAATGCCCGGATGAGTATAGATGGTAAGTGGTGTGAGTGTTTATAATAAAATGCCCGGATGACTGAAAATAATGTTTTATATGAATACCCATACGTGTCTGAATGACAGAGGTGTAATGTTCAGTAGGGGTGCCCGGATGAATCAAAATTGAAGTGTCATGATGCTTTATATCAATGCCCGGATGGGTTCTAAATGGTAGAGGCATGCTGTTACCAAGATGCCCGGGTAAGTCTAAATGATGTTTTAAAAATGCCCGGCTGTGCCTAAGTGATGAGGTTGGGATATTTGAAGATGCTCAGATGTGTCTAAGTTGTATGGGTGTGATGTGTCTAAGTTGTATGGGTGTGATGTGTCTAAGTTGTATAGGTGTGATGTGTTTAAGTTGTATGGGTGTGATGTGTCTAAGTTGTATGGGTGTGATGTGTATAAGTTGTATGGGTGTGATGCGCCTAAGTTGTATGGGTGTGATATGTCTAAGTTGTATGGGTGCGATGTGTCTAAGTTGTATGGTTGTGATGTGTCTAAGTTGTAGGGGTGTGATGTGTCTAAGTTGTATGGGTGTGATGTGTCTAAGTTGTATGGGTGTGATGTGTGATAGGGATGCCTCGAATACGATTAAATCTCACCTATCGATTGATATATGCACACAAGGAATCATGCAACGCCATACTTATATCCCTTTTATCTAATTATTCTTTTTTCAAAAGAACTTAACATGTTCATCACTATATGTTCGTTTTTGTTCTATAACGACACCATTATACGTTTATCTTACCCGGACAAATGTCTCGCTTATGATCCTCAGCAATGTTTTGTTACGTTTAAGATTTAAGACAGATCCTCAATGGACTGCTGGAGAGACAGGTCCCCGTCATAGCAGTTGTTGTAGTGATCGGCACGACGGAACACGGGGCAGTTGACCCGCTCGCAAAGGTCATCAACCTGCGCAAGGAGTTCCGGGAAAAGGTAACAGTTTTGGTTCGGAAGCTCTCGTAAAATTGAGGTTGATCTCTCACAAGCAAAAAAACCTATTGATTTGGAGTTGATATTAGCATTAGCAATGCATTGTGCCTTTTAGAATGATATGGAAAACAATAAAAAGGAATTTCCTGAGACTCCACATAAATGCTTAAACAGTCGTGTCATTAAAATACACCCACCAGTGTACTACTTAAACTTCAGAACGGTAGTCTAGGTAACATAAACAAGGCAAGGAATGACATCTGTCTAATAAACATACTACATAATATACCGATATGTAGTTCATTCAATATATTTATGGTAACCGGTAATGGATCGACGACTCTTAAATAAATCTTATAATGGCAGCTAAGTTACCATTCTACAAAGATTACAGATATCATAAAGTTACTTTCGTATACAGCATTGACACCACACTTCTACGTGTTTCTTGCTGTCATCAACAAGTCATGTCCAGCTTTTCTGTAAAAGTGAATGTGCAGCAATATAAACGTTAACTTATTCTCATTTCAGGGTTTGAACTTTTGTGTCTGCGCAGACGCAGCATGGGGAGGCTATTTCACGTCCATGCTCCATTCCAAGACCACATCCCGTGCCACATTGATTAAGGATCACGGTGGATACATACCAGTATTTCCCCTCAGCCCCTACACCCGTAAGCAGCTTCTCCATCTCAAGTACGCAGACACCATCACACTGGACCCGCATAAATCTGGGTATTGTCCATATCCGGCCGGAGGTCTATGTTACAGGTATACAGTCCTTTTTTTCTTCTTTTTGTTAATTTCGGGGTTCAGATTAAGATATCAAAATAGGTTGTAACTTTACTTTGTTTATCTGCCTAGAACTAGTCGACTTCGTCCACACAATGCTTAAACGCTACTGGTAAATTCGTTGAGCTTCTCTTATTGTAAACCACATTCTACCAGAATCCAAAAAGAGTTGTATTGCTTTATTAAATTACTTGGAATCATAACTAGCAATGTGACATATTTTTTAGCTTAGACCAACCCCTTCTAATGTCATCTCTTACCACGATTACAGAAATGGCGCTATGAGAGGATTCGTTCAGATCGCAGCTTCCGTTATATACCAGGACGAAGCGGAACCGGATGTTGGCATGTACGGGGTGGAGGGGTCTAAACCCGGAGCGGCCGCTGCCGGAGTTTTATTGGCTCACAGGGTTTGTTGATCAAACAGTTGTTTTATCTATCTCCATTAACACAATCGAACTTTGAGATAAAATAAAGTTTGGTGTCTGAGGATCTTTCAAGTTTCTTTAGCAACCCTGTAGATTTGCGCACATGCATATAGATTTATGAAAAGAGATTCGATATTTACGAGAATATAGAATGCACTGGCGAAAATGAAACTGGAAATTAACTGCGCTTGATTACAGCAAAAAAATCCAAACTGAAATTTTGATGTCAATGAAAACATTGTAATTCTATCTCCGAATTTCCCAAACGATTATGTTCACAATCAAGCAAATGTTATTAATGTTATGAATTAACGGTCGCTGACGCGCGGTTTAAAAAAAAACAATTCAAAAATATGTGGTTCTAAACTAACATGCAACGAGAAAACATCATAAATAGCTTGTTTATATACAGAAATCGTGTAGTTTTCTTTCTAAATTCAGTCTAAGTATGTGCATACCTTCAAGCTTGAATGAAAGTCGATATAAAGAAGACCTTAAACGTTGAAATGATGTGACCAAACTATAACTTCGAAATCTTAAGTACATGTATTGTTCGAATTATCCGAGTTTCTACTGACGACTTTTGGACGGTTCTAGGTAATCGGACTTGATATGTACGGCTATGGACGGATATTGGGCCAATGCATGATGGGAGCTAAACTGTTCTACTGCGCATGGCTGACCATAGCTAATGACGACGACAATTTCGTGTGCGTTCCGATGAAGCCCCTTCCTAATGAGGAAGACTCGGGGATACCGATGTTTTCCTTCAAGAAGGACCGAGCTCTTCAGGCGGCACGGAGGTTCATTAACGATAAAATTAAGGGCATAAGCAACGAGCACCTCAAAAAGGTAAGCGAAACAGATAAATGTAGGTTATATTGTGTAATCACGGTCCTAACATTATGCTCTCAGCCTCCTAATATTGTAAGAATTTGCCCTCAAGTTTCTCACATTTCGTCCTAAAGCACTTGGTTATTTTTGCTTGCTTTCCTAACACTGTGTCATCCATTTTTAATGTTATGATCTCGCACTCCTGACAGTGCGCTCTATCGTTCCAAATATTTCTTCCTCGCGCTCCCAATAATTTGTCGCTCTTCTAGCAAAACCCCAAGCATCGTTATCTCATGATCAGCTTCCGTATAATGTGACCTTTCGTAGACGATAGTGAGGCGCTTTAAACAATATCCATATGTCTCCCTGTGTTATCTAGGACAGCGACGTGATGAAGTTCCTCAGTGAGATTGGGCCCGATGCACTCATCAACGCCTTCGCCGTCAACATCCGAGGAAATACTGATATTGACGTCACCAACCAGCTTAACTCGACCCTGTTCGACAAACTCTCACACACGAGTGTTAGCAAGAATGACGTCAAACGAGTACCTCTTATTCTAACCAAGTCTGAACTGAAGCATTCCGGAAAAGACAAGGCGGCAGCACAGTTTAAACGCAGACTCGGGGTAAGGCATTTTCACGTTATGTACCCCGGAATTATGAATTACGGTTGACGCTACGTTTCATATTTAACAATAAAACACGTTGTGTTTTGACGTAGAGAGAGCTTTGTTTCTTTATTGCATATTGAGAGACGAGGACCGACAGTCAATACTTTGAATCCTCATCTCGTCACGATCGTGCTGTTTCATGATACTATTTAGTTTGGCCACTATGACTAAATGTAGCTGTGGGACCTGTACTCAACACCTAGGACGACTAATATACCGAAGGAGAAACCAGCTATTCGATTCTCCGTTTTGGAACCTCCTGGAGCAATCGTAAAAGGGGTCTACCCTCGACGGTATATGTCCTCGGTTTACTCTGCTTATTATTACTTCTAGCTACTTTGCGTTATATATTCCTCTGTCTATCCTGTTTATTTGTATTTTATTTACCCTGACTATAGTTCCTCTTGTTTGTTACCTCTAGCTACCCCCGGCCTGTGAAGGTGGGCTAGTCCATCTCATCAATACAGTGATGAACCCTTGGGTCGCCGATCAGGAGAGCATCCAGTCTCTGGTCAACTGTTTCCGGCAAGTCGTCATAACAACGGTGGAAGAGGTAATATTACTGTTTTCTTTTACTAAGTTTCTATGTTCAGGATGAATCAAATCGTGAAGGTTGCTGTGGTTCATGCATGTGATCTGTTGCAGGAAATATATTGCCATCAAATTTGGACTTCGGGCGATATGTGTCATTTTTTGCCTCATAAAAATTTAAAAATAAAAATAAATTATTAAACGATTTCTGTTATAAACATCATATTGGTTAAGTGCGGTTGTCGTTCTTAGTGCAGAGTTTTTCCAATGCGCATGCGTATATGCCCTACCAAAGCAACGAAATTGTGTTGCTATGCAGAAATAGCCAAAATATGGTATTTTTGGATATTTAGCATGCAGAAATGAAAGCCTCCGCATGTGACAAACAAAAGTTCCTTTCTGCGAATGACCACAGGTATGACGATGTTTAAGCATGTGGAATATGTTTTTGTTTGTTTCAAAAATGGAAGAGTGTTTAGTAAATTTATTTCAAAATTACCTATGTTCAACCATATAGCACATAACAGACGACAATCACGCATTTTCTTTTGAATATGCCGGTTTATGTCTTTCTCTGTAATTCCGTATTTCTTAAACCAGTTTTCGAATGAAATTTAAATTTCATATTTGCATACTTCATTTATTCCAGACTACGAATATAACAGCTAATCACAATCCCCGACGAGGCCGACAATGACCTTGAACGTCCCTAGTCCTTTGATTCATAAGATCGCTCAGTTACGTTTTCCTGAAAATATCATACTACGTCCTTTCCTTGTGGTATTCGGAAAGACAAATTTGCATCATCCATTTTGAACAATGATGTGAAGGTATTTTTTCGAAAACTACATTTTGTTTATGAATTAAAGCTGCAAAGATTATCTTCAAACGTGATGTGATACATTGTATTATGCATATGGGTGTATAAGAAATGGATACTGCAACGGAACTCACTACTTTATTAATCGGGATAACGTCATTTCAAGCCTCCATAACTTTAAGTTCCATTACTGAGAAGTCAGTATTTTGATTATGACTCAAGCTAAATATAAGTACAAGTCTTGTTGTTCTAAATGCGCTATTTTAGAATTATATATTTTTCTACCGATGACGAATTGAAAAAGAAAAAGAATTAACGCGTCACTCAGTTTTCACACACCCGGGTCAAATTATGTAGCGATTTCCGTATTTCCTTAAATTGTCAAGACGTTACTCTTTTACTTTCGAGAAAATTAAGAATTTCAAATATGGATATCACAAAACGTCTCGAATGAAAAGTACATTTATTTTTTCCTTCGTTTTCAGTGATCCTTATATAACATACTTAGTATAATCTACCACATTTGTAAACAAACATATATTTAAGGAATAGCCATGATTAATTTTCTGGGTTTATGCGGTTTATACCGAAACAACTCTGTGCGCTTTGGATAAATCTGTGCTGCGATGTACGCAAGATGGTGCACAGATTTTTTTTATTTTATTTTTATTTATTTATAAACATGTACCGTATAACCGAAAAATAATCTTAGTTATTCCTTATAGTTTAATTTAAAAAGAGAGAAAACTCTTTTTATTCATAACAGATAAACATTTATTCATTTCTGATAAAAGCAAAAGAAGTTTTCCCAAAACAATGCGGTTACGACGTCCTCACTTGTTATGTTGTCTTGTTTTTGAGGTTGTTCGATACAATTTGGAGTGTAGCCAAAAACAAAAATATTCTATATAAACTCTATCTTCATCATATTTATAACCCATATAAATACATAGCTGAAAGTAGTTCAAAACACTTATGATGAATCAGTTTTGGGTCCCTCTTGGAGGAACATGATAATCTTTCAAACGCGGAACAACTTACATTGTCATACCAGCGTGTATTAGTACCCTTCTTACTGTAATGAACGGTTGGTAATGTGTTTGATGTCGGGAATGGTTCTACCTGTATCCATCACGGTACAGGTGAGGGTTTAATGTAAGGAGCACAAGATATAGACTATAAACATTTAAATAATACTTAGGTTGTCATTCATTATACAGTGTAAAACTTATCAGGTGTTTAAACTTATCAAACCGAAGTTATTTTAAGGATCACTGTGGTTTCGTATTTCCAGTGACCTCCCTTCAATTTCCTGTTGCATATAACTGTAGCAGAGTGTGGGCAGGACAATTCAAGTCACCAGGCAGCTTAGTCGGTTAGAGCGAAAGTATAACAATCTGAGGTCAAGGGTTTGAATCCCAGACTAGCTACTCTGTAGATTTTACTCCCAGAACACTGTTTTTTATATATATATATATATATATATTGTTTATTACTTTTTTATTATATTTTTTTATAAAAGTACTGCAAGGTCTTATTTTCTTTTCAGAAATGATTTGTAAAAGCTCAAAGCTACAATTATACTGAAATATATGAATAGTTTCAGTTTTTGGCAGTGGTAAAAGGATCCTTAATATTTTGATCCCAGTGATTTTAACATTGGATCAATTCATACTTCAAGCAGTTGTGCTAATTCCATAGTTGTATATATATTACTGTATCAATGTATTGCCAAGAAACCTTTGTCCTATGTAGGATCCCCGTACATTGTGTGTATACTATGTAGGACCCCCGTACATTGTGTGTATACTATGTAGGATCCCCGTACAATGTGTGTATACTATGTAGGATCCTCGTACATTGTGTGTATACTATATAGGATCCCGTACCTTTTGTGTATACTATATAGGATCCCCGTACATTGTGTATATACTATATAGGATCCCCCTACATTGTGTGTATACTATGTAGGATCCCCGTACATTTTGTGTATACTATGTAGGATCCCCGTACATTGTGTTTATACTATATAGGATCCCCGTACATTGTGTGTAATTGTATGTATACTATATAGGATCCCGTACATTGTGTGTATACTATGTAGGATCCCCGTACCTTGTGTGTATACTATATAGGATCCCCGTACATTTTGTGTATACTATGTAGGATCCCCGTACATTTTGTGTATCCTATATAGGATCCCCGTACATTGTGTGTATACTCTGTACGATCCCCGTACATTGTGTGTATACTATATAGGATCCCAGTACATTGTGTGTATACTATGTAGGATCCCCGTACCTTGTGTGTATACTATATAGGATCCCCGTACATTGTTTGTATACTATATTGGATCCCCGTACATTGTGTGTATACTATATTGGCTCCCCGTACATTGTGTGTATACTATATAGGATCCACGTACATTGTGTGTATACTATGTAGGATCCCCGTACCTTGTGTGTATACTATATAGGATCCCCGTACATTTTGTGTATACTATGTAGGATCCCCGTACATTGTGTATATACTATGTAGGATCCCCGTACATTGTATGTATACTATATAGGATCCCCGTACATTGTGTGTGTACTATGTAGGATCCCCGTACATTGTGTGTATACCATATAGGATCCCCGTACATTGTGTGTATACTATTTAGGATCCCCGTACATTGTGTGTATACTATATATATAGGATCCCCGTACATTGTGTGTATACTATGTAGTATCCCCGTACATTGTGTGTATACTATGTAGGATCGCCGTACATTGTGTGTATACTATGTAGGATCCCCGTACAGTGTGTGTATACTATGTAGGATCCCCGTACATTGTGTGTATACTCTGTACGATCCCCGTACATTGTGTGTATACTATATAGGACCCCGGACATTTTGTGTATACTATGTAGGATCCCCGTACATTTTGTGTATACTATATATGATCCCCGTACATTGTGTGTATACTATATAGGACCCCGGACATTTTGTGTATACTATGTAGGATCCCCGTACATTGTGTGTATCCTATATAGGATCCCCGTACATTGTGTGTATACTCTGTACGATCCCCGTACATTGTGTGTATACTATATAGGACCCCGTACATTTTTTGTATACTATGTAGGATCCCCGTACATTTTGTGTATACTATGTAGGATCCCCGTACATTGTGTATATACTATGTAGGATCCCCGTACATTGTGTGTATCCTATATAGGATCCCCGTACATTGTGTGTATACTATGTACGATCCCCGTACATTGTTTGTATACTATATAGGATCCCCGTACATTGTGTGCATACTATGTAGGATCCCCGTACATTGTGTGTATACTATATAGGATCCCCGTACATTGTGTGTATACTATATAGGACCCCGTACATTTTGTGTATACTATGTAGGATCCCCGTACATTTTGTGTATACTATATAGGATCCCCGTACATTGTGTGTATACTATGTACGATCCCCGTACATTGTGTGTATACTCTGTACGATCCCCGTACATTGTGTGTATACTATATAGGATCCCGTACATTGTGTGTATACTATGTAGGATCCCCGTACATTGTGTGTATACTATGTAGGATCCCCGTACATTGTGTGTATACTATGTAGGATCCCCGTACATTGTGTGTATACTATGTAGGATCCCCGTACATTGTGTGTATACTATGTAGGATCCCCGTACATTGTGTGTATACTATGTAGGATCCCCGTACATTGTGTGTATACTATGTAGGATCCCCGTACATTGTGTGTATACTATGTAGGATCCCCGTACATTGTGTGTATACTATGTAGGATCCCCGTACATTGTGTGTATACTATGTAGGATCCCCGTACATTGTGTGTATACTATGTAGGATCCCCGTACATTGTGTGTATACTATGTAGGATCCCCGTACATTGTGTGTATACTATGTAGGATCCCCGTACATTGTGTGTATACTATGTAGGATCCCCGTACATTGTGTGTATACTATGTAGGATCCCCGTACATTGTGTGTATACTATGTAGGATCCCCGTACATTGTGTGTATACTATGTAGGATCCCCGTACATTGTGTGTATACTATGTAGGATCCCCGTACATTGTGTGTATACTATGTAGGATCCCCGTACATTGTGTGTATACTATGTAGGATCCCCGTACATTGTGTGTATACTATGTAGGATCCCCGTACATTGTGTGTATACTATGTAGGATCCCCGTACATTGTGTGTATACTATGTAGGATCCCCGTACATTGTGTGTATACTATGTAGGATCCCCGTACATTGTGTGTATACTATGTAGGATCCCCGTACATTGTGTGTATACTATGTAGGATCCCCGTACATTGTGTGTATACTATGTAGGATCCCCGTACATTGTGTGTATACTATGTAGGATCCCCGTACATTGTGTGTATACTATGTAGGATCCCCGTACATTGTGTGTATACTATGTAGGATCCCCGTACATTGTGTGTATACTATGTAGGATCCCCGTACATTGTGTGTATACTATGTAGGATCCCCGTACATTGTGTGTATACTATGTAGGATCCCCGTACATTGTGTGTATACTATGTAGGATCCCCGTACATTGTGTGTATACTATGTAGGATCCCCGTACATTGTGTGTATACTATGTAGGATCCCCGTACATTGTGTGTATACTATGTAGGATCCCCGTACATTGTGTGTATACTATGTAGGATCCCCGTACATTGTGTGTATACTATGTAGGATCCCCGTACATTGTGTGTATACTATGTAGGATCCCCGTACATTGTGTGTATACTATGTAGGATCCCCGTACATTGTGTGTATACTATGTAGGATCCCCGTACATTGTGTGTATACTATGTAGGATCCCCGTACATTGTGTGTATACTATGTAGGATCCCCGTACATTGTGTGTATACTATGTAGGATCCCCGTACATTGTGTGTATACTATGTAGGATCCCCGTACATTGTGTGTATACTATGTAGGATCCCCGTACATTGTGTGTATACTATGTAGGATCCCCGTACATTGTGTGTATACTATGTAGGATCCCCGTACATTGTGTGTATACTATGTAGGATCCCCGTACATTGTGTGTATACTATGTAGGATCCCCGTACATTGTGTGTATACTATGTAGGATCCCCGTACATTGTGTGTATACTATGTAGGATCCCCGTACATTGTGTGTATACTATGTAGGATCCCCGTACATTGTGTGTATACTATGTAGGATCCCCGTACATTGTGTGTATACTATGTAGGATCCCCGTACATTGTGTGTATACTATGTAGGATCCCCGTACATTGTGTGTATACTATGTAGGATCCCCGTACATTGTGTGTATACTATGTAGGATCCCCGTACATTGTGTGTATACTATGTAGGATCCCCGTACATTGTGTGTATACTATGTAGGATCCCCGTACATTGTGTGTATACTATGTAGGATCCCCGTACATTGTGTGTATACTATGTAGGATCCCCGTACATTGTGTGTATACTATGTAGGATCCCCGTACATTGTGTGTATACTATGTAGGATCCCCGTACATTGTGTGTATACTATGTAGGATCCCCGTACATTGTGTGTATACTATGTAGGATCCCCGTACATTGTGTGTATACTATGTAGGATCCCCGTACATTGTGTGTATACTATGTAGGATCCCCGTACATTGTGTGTATACTATATAGGATCCCCGTACAATGTGTGTATACTATGTAGGATCCCCGTACATTGTGTGTATACTATGTAGGATCCCCGTACATTGTGTGTATACTATATTTTTGTTTTGTTCCTTTTTTGCATGATAATGACTTTGGTAATAAATTTGTAAAAAGGTATTCATATTTTTGCTGAACCTTTAGGAAAAAGAAAAAAAATGAATTATCTATAGGATCAGCAATATTGTAAAAAAAACACCGGGTCAGCCAGAATTTGAACCCTGGATTCCCGTTCATTATACTGTCGCTCTAACCAGCTCAGCTACCGCGTCAACAGTACTACCCTTGCCCAGTTGCCAAGCTACTGAGATATCCTAAACAAATTAAATGGGAGGTAAATCAATGTACGAAAAACGACATTGGAATACTCTAGTGTTTTGCCTGCAATGGGACAGGGATCCTTAAGAAATACAATAATATAGTTTTGTTATACAATAGTATAGTTTTGTTATACAATAGTATAGTTTTGTTATACAATAATATAGTTTTGTTATACAATAGTATAGTTTTGTTATACAATAGTATAGTTTTGTTATACTCATTCGTTTACAAAGATGAAGAAATCTACTAAAATAACCGTCTGTTTATATAATCCAGATGACAGATGCCCCAGAAAAACATATTTTTATTGTTGCCAGTCCTTTGAGTAAGGACAGCGGGGAAATTTTCTGTGATTTCTACCCGAACGAATACAACGAGAAAGAGAGCAATTACCAGGCAGTGCTCAAGTTTAAAGTGGACAGTCGATTTAAACTCGAACTCCTCGAGCTGATCGAACAACAAGTCGAACTAGCATTAGGCGGAAGTGCTACAAAAGAAATTATTTTCCGGAACAAAGCGAAGACTACTCTAAGTGATATGTTAAGTAGTGGCCGACAGAGGGCGATCGGAATGGATGTGTTTGTTGGCATGGAGTCGACCACACCCGTCATGACAAACCTACCTGTCACAATTTCGGATGTCCCCCTGTACCGGTGAGTAATAATCAGTCAGTGTCTAGCGAATAATACATATATTACAACATGACCACAATGCTTGGCTATTGTAAAGGTTACAAGTATGTGGTCACTACGCTACAGTCAATACATGTTTCTTACATGCAATGTACAGACACCAATACTCCTATCCCGGCTGGGGAAGTGACAAGAAATCGATCAAGGTACACTAACGAGCATAGTAAAGTAAAAAGGGACATTTATATAAGAGAAACAAACACATGTATCATATTTTCCCACAAGATCATGATAGCAGTCGACATCCATAACGGTATTCATAATATCTGGAGCAAGCTCTTGAATACCGAATCAACTCGAATTTGTAAACACCGTTGATTGGGATAGTAGTGATGTTACTATCAAGAAAGGTAAAGTTCACGACCGAAATCTCGAAAGCCTACAGCTAAACATAAGATAGTAGCAAGTCGTCCCTGTTTGTCTTGTTAGTAAATATGGAGGAAAGCGGCTGAAATAGAACAGTCAGTAATGTTCTTTATTCCAGGCTCAAGAGGGTATATGATATTCTTTAAAGACAGCATATTTTCAGTTTATCTTGATAATCACAATTGTTAGAGCTGGTAGCTAAACATGTGCATAAAGTAGGTTTGTAAGCAGACAGCAAGACTGATAACCAATTTTAAAGATTAAGACTTTAAAACAGATGATTCAGTGACGGTACAGACAGGTACAAAACTGTGGGAATGTGATAGCAGATAATTTGTAGTCGGAATGAAGCTTCTTCAATAGACGACATCGAGAAGGGTTAGGTTAGGGTTAGAGGACATCGAGAAGGGTTGGGGTTAGGGTTAGAGGACATCGAGAAGGGTAAGGGTTAGGGTTAGAGGACATCGAGAAGACAATTCCAGGTCTGAGTGGTTAACATCTGTTGTCTCGTATAAAATATCGTTTAGCCCAAGTCCTCACGATTGCACATATTCCATTAACAAAACAAATGACATGCAATATGATAATAGATTGAAAGATACATTTGAATTCTTTTACCACAAGGACATATTTTTTGTTTCATACAGGTCTGCCCTCAGGACATTAAATGAGTTTGATTTCAGTATGCCATGCTGACAAAATCCTATAGGTTATCAGTATGCGGACTTACGATTCTGCATTCTGCGTCATTTCTGTTACAGTTTGAGATGTTTTAATGTTCGTTTAGGTACTTCGAGAAAGTAACCAATGATTACCCAACATACATGACGTACTTCCTGTTCGGCGACGAAAATGGCGCTTACATGACTCACCACATCTCCGTCCGCCCGGATTTCTACCAGGTTTGTATATCTATTTTATATGATTAATTTATGTGATGTTTCCTTATGTTTCCTTATTGTTTTTCTCTGATTTTAGGTTTTTTATGTTTTACATCTTAATTGGGATAAAAAAAAAATACAAATCGATTGAGTTAGACTTGCTGGTTCGATGTTCAAGTAGTATACTCTGAATATCCTGCTGTAGACCTGAGCTAGGCTATGAAATGAACTGACACCATAACATACGATAGAAATCCTTCTCACTGTTACTAATTTTATTAAGATTGTATTAATGGTCTCATAAAGAGTCGTGTCTTTACAAGCAATGCTTGTCTAGGTTAGCAGAATGGAATTATTTAACTTAAATAACAGTTAAATAACAAGACATAAATGAACAAATTTGATTGGTTCCTTCGGGGAAAATTAACATTTTGATCAAAGAAGGGACCAACATTACCTAATTGGTTGTTGATTAAATGACATTTAAAACAATAAGATTCTCCTTAACGAAACTAAAGAAACTAACTATGCGTTTGTATTTTTCTCACATGACTATAGCTTTTATAAATCCTTTCTGAAAATAAAAACCATACATTTTGGATCACATGAAAAGATGATAACAAAAGAATTCAACAACATTGTTACTGGTGTTAAAATGCAGCCGAAATAGACCAGTATTCGAACTTGGTCCTCCGATCATTGTTCTGTCACTCTATAACCAAATGGAAGTACCAAGGTCTAGTCGCGCTACAGATTTATCAAAAACGAAAAGAAGGGGAGGTAAATATCTATTAGACTGAAACTCCGAGGGATTTTGCCTGCAGAGGAACAGTGGTCCCGGAAACATACATACAAACAAATTCAATGAGTAGAGAAATCGGTTACAAGTGCGTTTTGTTGTGTTAAATGTTATATTTTTGTCATTGTCTATATATCTCCATTTTGACGATGTGGTTCATTTAAACCTATTTTACTTGAATTTACAGCTTGTCCGTCTAGACCAGGTACCACACAGTATATCGCCAGCGCTCCTTCAGCATGGAATCCCGGTCCATATCTCCACAATGACAGGAGACCCTCTCTACATTGACGGAGAAATCGTGGACCCACTACAGATGACAGAATACACCGTACATCTGATTGCAGAGGGAGGGACACAGATCCGGTCTACAGTCAAATTCAACAACAAACACGCCAAAATATTTTTCCTCCCACTTCGACCGGAAACGCTGACAGAATCTCGGAACCTTGAATACCGGTCATCCGTCGATATAAACGGTAGTATCAGTATAGAGGTGTATGAATCTTCCAGCAGTCCTACTCCTGTGGCAGAGGAACTTCTAGAAACCTCAGTATAGCGACTAGTATTAGTGGACGGCTTTTACTAGACTTAAGGATAGAACATAGGAATATACAGTGAATATGATTCACTAGACTCCAGTATAGAAAATAGGCTTATACTATTAGTTATACAGGTCTTTGGCAGGGTACATGGTCTCATGTTCGCTGTCAGGCCCTTATGTCCCCTTCGGCTCAGGATACATAAGGTCCTGACAGCGAACATGAGACATGTCCCCTGCCAAAGACCTGTATAACGAATTTGTCATACTGCAAAGCAATGTTCAAGCATTGTCGTCTTGTAAAGAATCCCATCCTGTTTCCTTGCATCGAGATAAAAATGGCCCAATGCCTCGTCTAATCTTGGCTTCGAGAAGTCCTCAAAATCTGTGTCTTGCTCCTTTTCGCTTAAGTATGCTCTGAAGGTTTTGCTTGCTGAATTGTTACTTTTCTTTGTGTTTGTAGGGATAAGTGACGCCCGTTTTGTCTCAATTTCACTCTCCGTGTGGCTTGCAAACCGTTTCGCCCTTTTGTTCATTGTTGACATTAGCAGACGAACGTTCTCCGGTGTGTTCGATTCGAATCTGCGAGTTATCTCCCTTACAACAGGCGCGCGTGCTCTTATGTACCCCGGCAAGGATACTAACATAGCTTGGCAATTCGACCAATCACCGTGCGACATTAAAATGAGAAGTATGACAAAAGTGAATGTGATTCACATTATTTCTGTTTAGAGAAAAGAGTGGTGTACACGTGAATGTGATTCACATTATTTCTGTTCAGAGAAAAGAGTGGTGTACACGTGAATGTGATTCACTAGACTTACGTGTAGGGATATGAATATACAAATGAATGTGATTCACTAGACTTCAGTATAGAGAATATGTGTTATACATATGACTATGATTCACATTTCTTTTTGTAGAGAATAGATGTTATACATATGACTATGATTCACATTTCTTTTTGTAGACAATAGATGTTATACATGTGACTAGGATTTACTTGGCGTCAGTGTCGGATACCGACATATTTGAGTCAATGTGATTCACTACGCTTTAGTATGGAAAAAAAGGGTAAACGTTCATTGTGATTAGGTTGAAATAAGCGTTGTGACTCACTAGAGGTTTCAGTTATGAGAATAGGATTTTACAAGAGAATGAGATTTACTAAACTTTGGTGTAGAAAACAGGTTTAGCATTGAAAAGAGGGTAAGCTGACATTGTGATTCGGCTAAAATAAACGTTATTACGGCTATCTAGAGGTTTCAGCGTTGAGAATAGATTACATACAGGAATGTGATTCACTAGAGTTTACCGTAGGGAATTCGATTATACAAGTCAATGTGAATCGCTACGCTTTATCATAGAAAAAGCATAAACATTTCATGGTTGTAAGGTTAAACTAAGCGTTGTGATTCGCTACAGGTTTCAGTTTTGACAATAGGATTTTACAATTTGACCTCAGCGTTAAAAGAAGGTAAACTTGTGAATGAGATTAGGATAAAAGATGTGTTGTGATTCACCAGAAATTGAGTGTTACTGAAGATGATTAGGCTAAAGCAAGTGTTGTGTATACTCTTGGTCGATTTACTACAATTTAGTAAACGATTACATGATAGTTAACATTTATATGACATACATTTATTCATATTCCTTAATACGAAAATCTTAAGATATCTTAAAACGTTTTCGTTAACATGGTGACTAGAGTTCCTTCCCTTGCCCTGGACTTCCGTGTTCACTTATCTAGTATAAGAACCAACAGAGGCGTTAATAGATCGTTCGTATCATTTCAATCACCTCTTATTTATACGTTTTTTTCAATCAGATGTCTAAAGTTGAGTTAATTTTAACCAGCTTGTATATTTTCGGCTTAATGCTTAACTTGCTAAACTTATCAATTCATTCATTTTCATACTATCTTAAACCAGTACGTTGGAGTCAATGTGCTAGATAGTTAGAACCCAAATGTCGACAGCTAAAGGTAGTATTGTATTATACTAATGATGGTCGTTTTGTTTATGAAAGGATTGAGTTATTAGTTATTCTTTGATTATTTAGGTCGTTCATACATGTATAAAATGAGAATATTTACAGGACTCTCGTTTTGACGTTGAGATTACGTTTCAAGGGTTTAATAGCTGAGTAAATTACGAATGACTGACTTATTCATTATTATCAAACTTTAATTTTCAGCATTCACAATTATCACTGTGGCGTTCACAGCACAGTACAATTGCTCGTTTTGAGAATTAGATGGAAAGATTATATCTTGAATGTGTCACCGAACTACATACAATGAACCATGCCACATATCAGTCCACAAGTGCAATTGTTTAAACATAACTGTTGAAGGTTGTACGATAATCGGATATAGCTGGAGGCGTGTAGTCATGGCAGGCCCCACTAGGTGTCGCTACTGGCAAATGTAGAACATATATCTCTGTGGGTACCATACATCCCATAAGTGTTCATAAACATGAAAATACAAATCCTTCATTTACCATTCATACAGTTTCTAAGTTAAATCATGAAATTAGTCAGCGCATTTCCTTGCTTTGATCTTCGATTTAAAAACTGTAGCATTATGCATTTCATGTGTACAAACACATTTTTGTGATAAATTGATCTAAGAAGAAATAATCACATTCATATTAATCAGCATAGCACGTATCATGGGCTTGGTCACTTAACTACTAATCTATTACCCATGCTTTGTAAAAATGGACCGATTGCTTGGTGTGTTAAATGTCTTATATATATTCCTTGGGAAACGTGGCAACATTTCTTCTTATCAATGACAATGAAACAATGATAATGACAGAGGAGTACCAAATACTACAAACTTGTACAGTTGAGTATAAGCTGTTACAGAATACAGTCTTTCAAAATAATAAGAACGTATCACATAATTATTGACAAAGTTCAAACCATGCTGATCACACATACTAAAACAAATATAATAGAACCTGTATGACTGTCTAGTACAAGGAATATACATAGGTATTATCAACAATCAGAGAAATCATTGCTGTCACGGCACAAAATATCTTCGACTGCTCATCTGCTGGTCACAATGCTTGTTGTTTAGTATGCGGTTTAGGTGTTGTTTCTTTGATGTGTGTTCTTCTTGTATAACAATTAAAATGGTTTTGGTATTGTTGTTGTATATGTGGTATTGTTGTTGTATATGTGGTGTTGTTGTTGTGTTGTCGTTTAATAAATGTGGTTCTAGTCGTTTCCTATGTTGAGTTCTTCTTTAACATGCGTACTTGTTCTGTCATATGTGTGTTTGTTGCTTAATGTGTGCGTTTGTTGCTTAATATGTGTGTTTTTTGTTTGATATGTATTTTGTGTTATTGATATATGCGATTGCTGTTAACTATGTTTTTCAATATTAACTTGTTATTTTTCAGGACAAGTGTGAATAGCAACTGCCGATTAGAAAAAACTGCAACTAAACAAAACTAACAAGGAAATGTGTTTAAACAACTTCTGATCAACAAATTTCACTGACGGCCATGTTTAAACCGTTTCACATTCCACATCGGACGCCATTTGCATGTGTATATATTAATGTATAGTTCTGAATAGTTTACAATTTGATCAAGAGCAACTAACAGAACATATTAAGAACACCCAAACATTCACAAAGTAGTTATAAACTGGAGAAGAGAGGCTCTGTAAGGATGAATTGGGGGAGAGAGGCTCTGTAAGGATGAACTGGGGAAGAGAGACTCTGAGAGGATGAACTGGGGAAGAGAGGCTCTGAGAGGATGTTGCATATACTTGACAGTAGTGGAAACTAGACGCAATGATTCGACCAAGTGACTGAGTTACGACGCTTAACTGCACATCAAGATAGGCTTATTGAGTTGATCATATAAAGAAGAAAAAAGATTGATTTGTTGATGGTATGCCCTAAAAATCTGACAATGACCAATACAATGTCAAGTTAGGTGGCATTTTCTTGACATATCTTAATCAGATATGTTCAGCTATATACTTGGCTTCTTGCCAATTGCGCTTGATGCCCCTGTGATATTGTTTTAATATAAATTATTATTTTTAAGTCACAGAGTAGTTAATTCTGTAGGTGGACTATCAGTCATTGCGAGTGACTGTGACCTTAGAGCGTGTATTTATGCTGCCACAGTTTACTTGAAATACTCGCTTCAGAAAATCATCATTTGTAGCCATAAGTTGTAAATTTGTGAAACGTCATAATATTTTGTGTATGCACCTTTTCCCTTTTTGCTGTGTTTCTACACGTTTTGAAATATTGCATACAACGATGTTTTCATGTTTAAGAATTTCAGTTTCTGCGATGAGTCCTAAATAAACAAAAAACAAAATAACCATATGTGGCAGAAAATAAATGTTGCTTAGTTTTCTGCAACGAAGGAATAAATGTTCAAGTAGATGCTACATGACTTCTTATTTCTAGTGATGTTTTTTTCAGTACCGACGTATTGCTCGATGTCAACCTAATTGAATTTCACAAAACAGGTTGGTGATTTGCTACTTTCACATAGGGTTCGCTTATGTGGTTAACAGTTAATGCTTATTACTAAATGCTTACCTGAGTGGCTGGTATGTAAACGGCAAACTTGTGAGTAGCGGATACTTATATGTTCAGTATTTACACCATTAGTGATATAAAATTTGTTCATAATATACAAAAATGTGTTCAATAGATATAAATATATTGTTCACCAGTTACATCCCCTTTAAATATATACATATTTTGTTTATTTAATATTCAGTAGACATATATCTTGTTCAAACGACATAGATCTTGTTCATTATATACAGATCTTGTTCAATATATACAGATCTTGTTAGTTAAATCTAGATAATATTCAATAAATACAAACAATGTTCATTATATACAGATCTTGTTAATTAAATCTAGATAATGTTCAAAAGATACAAATATTGTTCAATATATATACAGATCTTCTTTAATTCATATAGATCATGTTTAATAGATACAGATCTTGTTAAATAGATACAGGTAATGTTCAATAGATACAGATAATGTTCATTATATACAGATCTTGTTTAATTCATATAGATCTTGTTAATAGATACAAATCATGTTTAATAGATACAGATCTTGTTCGATTGGTACAAAATAGCTTTCTCTCGAAAGAAGTGGATCTGAAATTGTTTTAGCGATCATATATATTCATCTTAATAAAGTGATTTAAAGTCCTCGATTCATCGACAAAATCGCTTTTTTTTCTCCCGAAATGTAGGCCATGGTCCAGTTTTTATCTTAACGGGTCGTGAACGCAAATTTTCGAAAAGGTTTTAAAGAGATGTATCTTGGAATTTTCCAACGTGTATTTGTTTCTGTCGTCCTAAAAAATAAGTTAAATTAAAGTTTCGAGTTAATTGATTGTTTAACTTATTGGATTTTGAACAACTGGACCATAGAAGTTGTTTTTTTTATTTTTCATTTTTCTAAAGAATGACTATTATCATGATAACACAATTCATGTCGTTAATGTTTCCCCTAACCCCTCACTCCTATAACCTAGTCTTGGCAGAAGTGCCTTAGTGAGATCATATTCTGCTGTATGTACTGCAAACTGAATCAAAACCGTTAAGGAGATACGTTACTTTACGATTTACATTTAGTATTTGTGTCCTAATCATCCTCTTTCATTTTTAATAATGCGTAATTAGTTTCAGATATTTAGCCATTTATCAAAGTTTATATTACCATTTAGATAGACATTTCTTTTAGTTTTGTCAAAGTAGAACTCTTTTGCTGGAAAGTTTTACACGTATATTGCAATTTGTTACATACTATATCCTTAAATGTCATTTTATTATTTTATTATTATACTTATTTTATAGGTAAAGGTTGTTGTATGTTACGACGTCAACATACGTAGACATGTGTTTAACAAACAAACCTATTGTGTTAAAGTCGTGCAGGTGTGCAAGTGAAGTATTTGTGAGAGTATGTAAGACAGTATGTCGTAAACATGTGTTGTGACAGGTGGGGTGTCGTAAAATTGTTGTGTGACAGACGGTATGTCGTAAACATTTGTTGTGACAGAGGGTATGTCGTAAACATATGTTGTGACAGACGGGATGTCTTTAAATTTAAAGTGATATAGGGAATGTTTTTAAAATGTGGTGTGGCAGTCGGCATGTCGTAACAATATATATATAATTATCGATCGATTTGCATTTAATTAAATACATTCCGGTGTGTAATTTGACTACCATTCAAAAATGGCAAACTGTTGAACTAAGAGTTCACTATAAAGAGTTACATTGTACATGTATATTTTATATTAATTGCAAGTTGGACACAATTTAATGCTGATAATAATCTTTTAAAACATTTGGAAGATCTAGAAATGAAAAGTTCTTGCCATAAGACAGGCTCATACACATATATCCGGTTTATATTTACTTGATATTATTTGTTTTAATCATTTAAGATATTCATGGAATGTTGTATAGAAATTATTGTGTGGATGTACTCATAAAATAACAAACCATTATATTAGGAAACGGTATGTAGATCAGTATTAATTGTTCATGGTGAACTGTTTTATAAAGTGGATATCTAATTGTTTTCCAAGGAATAATATGTATGTCACGAGTATGACAGAATACCAATATTTTTCGAAACAAAAATGAAAAATATCGAAATATTTGCCAGAGAATAATAGCAATGACAGTCAACGGAAAACAAGGGGAAAGCCATTACTTGTTTGGTATACGGTACATTTTAAGTATACATATGAAGTATTACAGAGTTAAAATCATTTTAATGAGATTCTAAATGCACTTATGCCATTTGTTGCTATCATTTGGTAATATTTGTGTACACCAATGTAATCAACTGTGTACATATGTAAATATCTTAGTGAATGTTTCGTGTACTAAACCAAATACTCGCTCTACTATCACTCCATCCTATCAGAATGCACTATGCTGTTCGTAGTAAATACCTTATGGAATCGACATATTTCCTTGTGTGAAATATGTCACTGTTATCAGATAGATAACAATTCTATGCTCAACTTTAAGATTGCAATGGATGAAGGCAGTTTAATAACATATGGCCGTTGTCGAAACTGTTTGTTGAAATTATTATTGTTTTTGTTAGAAGAATTTCACTTGATCACAAGATTTATGTGTTTTCATCCTTTTTTAGTCTAAGGAAATATTGTTGAACCCACAAAAATAATCTACATTAATTTGTGCTTTGAGCAAATACCCTAACACAAGAAAGAGATGCTGTGTTGTCCTGTATCATCTAGTCTTGACCAATTACCACGATAGGGCAATGTGCGCCTATCTCGGGATAAACTGTAGTGTTTTAAATGCCTGTCACCATTACCATTAGGGCAAGTTTATAAACCTGATGGAACCTTGCAAAACTTAATAATATAAAATATTGTTTAAACTAACATAAGGTATATTCAAATGCATATGTACATCTAGTGTCATAAAATAGTTTCCCTTTTGTGTCTATTTTTGCGTTTAGTATAAGCGATGAAACATATATCCTTTTTAGATAAATGGTGCCTTTATTACCACATTAAGCTCTCCGCCTATCTCCTCATACCACTAACATAGGGGTTGTGTTTCGAAGGGTTTCGCTTTATAACAGTAGCCTTATCCGCTTGAATAGTATTATCTCACTTGCTCTTGTATATTATGATTGTTCCATATTTTTTTAATCATGTTTTTACTGATCATTTAATTGTAAATTTGTTTGCTTGGATTTTATATTTCCTTGTTTTCGTTTTAATTTAAACGTAAAACCTGTCATATTCCGTTTGTCTTGCCATTTCTGATGTAGCCGTTTCACCAATATCAAACATATCTATCACTTCAAAAAACATTACAGTAAAACTCAAAATATGAAAATATGTTTTTTAAAGTTCCTTGATATATCGTAAGGCTAACAATGCCCTATACATTTGGTGATTGGTGACGTCATCAATTGTCAATAAATAACTGTCTACTTGTTTTATATTCATTACACACTAATCATTAACTGTTTTTGCCCATATAACTTCAATTTTTATTAAAAATGTATATTATCCTGATATAAACCCCACTTACTAGTAAGCCACTGCTCAAGAATATTTAAGTCTAATTCAAGGTTTTAGTTTACGGATCATGAGCTTTACATTGAATTTTCATTTACCTTACACCCACGAAAAATATCTGGTTATTTTTTACACGACACTTTAATAGAAACATTCTCTGTTGTGTTATATTTGCTTCATTGCCAACATTGCGAATTGATGTACAGAAGATACTTGTATTTCTGAACATTATCTTTAGTTGGTAAACATTTAACAGGTCGTGCTTTATTAATGTGCATAGAAAACGATAGGAGTATCGGAAACATTGATATGGTATATTTTCTTCGATAAACTTATATGGTACATTAGCTTAGATAAAGAGACATTGTAAAATCGTACCGAACATTGACAGGATACATTTGTTCCGTTCACCATTGTTTATTCCCTCAAATACTGTAATTGGCCAACTCGCTTAGATAACGTAAAAATACATTCGTTTGGGCATTTGTTTTTAGTTAGAATCGCTTAGATGAATTAATATGGTAGCTTTATTGTGTTAATTAATTGTCTGACAAATCTTGAAGACAGATGTCGACTTGAAAGGATTTTATGTTGTGACTGACACACAAATTGAGATATATATACAGATATCAGAATGTATTAGTCACGGGTCTGTAAGGTGTCATTCTGATACATAACGTTAATGATGTCAATATTGTATAAAAGTACTGCTGAAATGGTTTTTTACAGCTTTAACACATTCAACTCGTGTAGAATTGTTTACTAAGTCATGCATTTGCCTAGGTGTTTGTTAAACGAAACAGATAATAAATAAATATACAAAATCAATTTGTTGATTTTTTTTTTTTTATGGTTTTAAAAAATGATGGATTCATGTCCAAATATGTTTGCAGGATGAATGCTATAACGCAAATACCATAAAGTACCAGTGTTTCATTCAGTTGTTTCGAAACAAAACAATTAAAGTATCGCCAATTAATTAATGTTTGAATACGTAAAAATGTATATTGGCACCTTTTGCTTCCTCGATTATTACTCTAAATGACATGAACTGATTCGCATGTAAATCTATATTGGATCCAACGGAACCTTAGCAGAGAAAGATTCAAACAAATGCTTGATTTTAACGCTCAACAACTTTAAATGTGTCCTTGAATCTAATGCTAAATGACATAACGAATTATCGACTTTTATAATAATGACATTAAGCGGAGAATCGACTTAAACATTTAATGATATTTTAACGGATTCCTCACTGTGATATTAAATGATATTAAACGGATCCTGCAGTGTAATGCATAATGTTTTTCTTACAAAATGCTTAACGACTCGAAATCATGACTTTAGCAATATTTTCGAACTTCTACACACGAAAAGTTTTATGTCGACTCACGGCAATCTGTACACTTTAATAAGCTTTTTACACATTTAATCTGACTTATGTTTCTATCAGCAATATGACTTGTTATCATAGTTAGTTAAAACAAACTGGTATTGTGTCGATATGTTGACACTGGTATATTTTGTCGTGTTTAGCGTGGTGACTTATGTTGTTCATTTGGGTTGAAACTATTATTTATTTCGTCATTGTTTGCTGACGCTGTGGTGATTTTTTGCTAGATAATAACACATGTATGAATAGCGTAAACAATTCTTTGGCAATGTAGCCGTAAAAACCGTTCAGGTAGAACAATACATCACGTTGTTACAACTCATGCCTGTAATATACCATTGTACGGTGCTTTTTAGCCTGACAGCAATTGTGATGTAAATAGGTTTAGCATATCTAAAAGTGAATTTTTAGGTTTTATATTGTGAGCAAAGTTTGATACAAAATTACCAAGTAATACAATTATATTTTTTATCAACAAGCTGCATATACTTTCAAACGTACAAAGACAAATCAAACCGCATAATTTTATTTTGACATCAACCAAAGATAGACACACTCTTCTGTGTTGCCATTTCTCAAATCTAATCAACCAATTTTAAACTTTCAAACTTTGTGTATTGTATACTATTAAAGAGTTTATTTAAGTATTAATTGCAGAACTTTCAGTTTTAAGTCATAATCTATATAAATGCCAAAATATAGCAGTTGTATACTTCCATTAACATTTGTTATCTTATTATATAATATAATCTTATTGACATCTGATTAATTTAAAGAAACAAATCAGCAATAATCAAAGTAAGTATCATGAATGCTCGTATAAGAAGCACAATAGCCATCTTCAGGGGGAAGTGGTGGCATGCAACCCTACAGATGTCATGACGACATACTATCATCACATCAATAATGGGAGTGTAGCCTTCAGGCCTGATATGATAACCTTCTGACCTCGAGAAATAAAAGATTAAAATTTAGGATGTTTTCAAGCGATCGTTTAATTTTAGGTTACCATTCATGTTTATCACTAAGTCTGCACAACAAGGACCTATAAATATTTAGATAACAATTTGTGTAGTCAATACGTAGGGCTGCATTCTTTCGTTTAAGTAGCTTGTGTCAATTAAAACATATACATTTTTTTTCTTTTTTTAACTAGTCAGTTTACATGAATGCCTCTTATTTATAATTCTGTATCACTATTTGTGTGTTTGAATGAACCACTTGATCAGTGGGCGTCAGTATCTTTACTAAACTGTGGACGCCCTGGGTTGTTTGAAGTTCATAGTAAGGTAGGTATGAAATATGGCCTACACGATATATTGACCAAAATATGTTTACGTCTCTGTCGACAGGTAAATGTAGGTGACGGTATTTATTAAATAAACATGTCATCGGCCTTAAACGCCTTAGTATCGTATCTAACGGTGAGGCAATAATGTAGGGGAATGAGGTTGTTCAGGGCCAGGAACAGACAGATTAGTTCTAACCCAGGGATCAGAAGTTCATCTCCATGCTGGGATCTTGAAGATCCATGGCCGTCCACCTACAGGCACCTCACTATATACAGTTACCTCCCTTTAGTTTTGTTTAGGGTATAACTATAGTTTTCGCAACTAAACTGACCAGCTAGCTTAATCGGAGGGAGCGAAAGTATATATGATCTTAAGTCCAAATGCTATTCTAGCCTCGTTATGATTTCACACGCAGTACACTGTGGTTGGTTTTTAATTGAACATACAAATTCATTTTTTCAAATTCCGCAATGTCTGGCATTTCTTCCTGCTATTATATATTCAATCCTCTAATAGTGCAAGATTTGTTTTAATGGATGGTTACAGTTTTCTGTCTGCGTATGCTACATAGAGTCACACAAAGAGAAATAATAGATTAGAATTATTAAAATTCGAGTGAGTTACATTCCCGATGTAGTTTGGTTTGTTTGTGTTTTACGTCCTATGGTCATTTAAGGACGTGTGTTACGGAGGAAAGCTGGAGTTCCCGGAAAAAAACCCACCGACCTACAGCCAGTACCTAGCGACTGTCCCACGTAGGTACAGTATCGAACCCGCGACCCTGTGGTGGAGGGCTTGTGGTAGAAGAATGTCAGACGCATTAACCACATGGCCACCCCAGTGTAACTTTCAATACTCAAAGAGTGGGGTATGATGCAGTATGAAAAGTTATATTGATCGCAGACATTTAATTCAGATCACATCATCTTTACCCTCACAAAAGACCGTACATGTTTAAATGCTTTATATATATTTTTTAATAAAGTAATTTTTTGCATGGTTTAGATACTAGTTTTCTTGCAACCTTTAGTTGCATGTTCCCTTTCTTACAGCTCGGCTAACTAGAACAATCACACTAAACAATACAAGAATTTGTTGATGTTAAAAATAACCAAACGTACGAGAAACATTGAAAACATTTATTTATAAAAACAACTGTATATTCACGACATAAATGATGGGGGATCCCCCTAAATGCTGTACTTAGAAATCCATATTCACATGAAAACTGCTCCGCGTGATAACTTGTCACGTGTATCATATCCTGCCAGTGGGATTTCGAGATATATCAAGTATAAAAATCATAACCGATCACGATAGGATGAACACTTTGTTCTCCCATAACAACAAAATAAAACACTGGCACCACACCGCGTGATACTATATAATACTGTAAAACGTTTAGCAGACACAGGAGAAATAAAGCTTATCCACATTTCTGATCTCTGTCACTCTGTCTATCTCCATGCGTAATGCAACTGCTCCAATCAGGCCAGTAATTAGTTTGTATCCTCTCACAATAGTCCACCAAGTTGGGATATTTCTCTGCAAAATAAATCAACTTAATTAATACTAAAATGAAGATAAATATATGCAGAAAGAAGCAGATATTTTAAAAGAAGAACGTAAGACAAACCTATGCGATTAGGGTTAGGTTTAGGGTTCATCTGTAAAATTGTATAACTGAAATAGTTAACTAAAACTGAATCAGTAATATATAGAATATGGCAAGTATTTGCAGGAAAAATTACAGTTAACATTTGTGTTGTGCAAATTGGTATTTCGTCCATTGATCACTTAAAAGTCCAAGTGGCAGCAATAAAACAACACACAAGAGACGAATCGTACGTCAACGTAAACATTACAACAACAGTCACTTAGGAAGCCCAATCCTCGATATCCACGGGTTACGCTCAATTCGCTCTCTACACCACTCGAATATTTCATAGCAAAATTGAAGGCACGAATATAGCTGTTTGATTGGTCTCAGATAAAAAAAAAAGCACTGACCAATCGTTAGGCTGATGCAAGTCCTTAGAAGATTATAAAGAAGAGACGCCCAACTTCAAAGCCTGTCAAATTTTACCGTTACGTGACCGCGAGATTCGTTTGATGTATATCAAAGGATCGAAGTAGTCTTCTTGTCTCATCAACAAGGTGGCGCACACCGCGCCTTCAATTTTGCTATGACATATCCCAGGGATGTAGAGAGCGGAGGTGAGTGTAACCCCTGGATAACGAGGATGAGGAAGCACTAGCAGGGTTCTTCCTGAATGTCTTTTGCTTACCTTGTAGCAATGTCGGTACGATCGTGTGAGGTAAATGCCATAATAATTGTGATAATTGTCCAAATAAGGCACAGTCCACTTCAGTCGGGGAATCCCCAAAAAAGTACTGTTTGTCACCTGAAAATTTATATAAAACATAGAGTTAGAAAATAAAGTCGCTCTAACGTCTGTCAAGATTTAATACGTTTTACCTTACGTTTTGGAGGTTACTAGTTCAACTAGTTTCATGCAAAAATAGTTTTATCATAGATAATGCGATTAATATGAATAAATTTTGATAACCAAACGATGTTTCCCTGCCGACTATCGATTGCGTCATGTTTGGTAGTTTGTTTTATTGATGATACTCTCATGCCTCTCTATGATGTTAAAATATCAATGTTGGAGACATTATTTTTAAATTGTGTTCAGTTCGTTTTAGATTTTTGGTTAGGGTTTTGTTGTAGTTTTACATGAACGTGATGTAAAATAAACGTGATGTTTTGTCAATCATTACCTAAGTATTGTGATAATGCTTTGAAATCGCCATCCAAAATGGCCTCCACTTCTTTCTGTGTGTGACGTCCCAGCCCCTGGTAGTGCGTCTGCATCCGTGCCATATATGTCACAATAGTGATGTAGGTGCGCCGCCATTTTGCTAGATTGATGACTTCTTTTGTCTCGTCATAAATCCATCGGAAGAGAATCATGATCCTGTAACAGCAATGACATATGACGTAAATTAACGTAACATAACAAGCATACTCATACATCATTCAGGGAGATTTAATTTCGTTGATTTCATGGGCAATCTTCAACCACGAATTCAAACGTTCACGAAGAAAGTACAAGTTTGATATAACACAATTCTCCGTTTTAGTGGGTACTCGTATTCAAAGAATTCTTTTAAGCACAAAATGGTGTTTTGTCGATAAACTACGATATTGTGCCCCAACAAAACTACTTGATTTCACTTTTTATCGATAGGAGAGATAGGAGACTTTTAGCTCCATAAACCGATAGTTTCCTCATTGAACTACGCTCGGCTAACCAGTATTTCCGTTAAACATTTACCGGTAGTTCCATCAGAGAGATTACGCCCCATTAAACGGTGATTTATTCGGGGGGGGGGGGGGGGGGGGGGGGCTACGTTAATAGAAATTTGGGTTAACCTCATAATCTGCACGAGGGGGTACTTTGTATTTTACAACTGTTGTTCACCTACCAGTACGTATGTTCGTCAACCATCTTCTGAAATGCACGTGCCGTGGCCTGTTGCTCCGGTGTTAATTCCTCGTTGATATCCGTAGAGCGCTTCTGGCGGAGAAACTGCATACAGAATTCCGTATCCGGAACAGAGACACCATTGTACTCTATCCAGGGTATCTTCCCTTTAGAGCCAGGCTTTTTGTCATACACGTTCTACAAAAACAACAGTTGTGTCCCTTAACATATAAATAGCGTAGGTATTGTCAAACACTAAGTATAACTAATTTTATTAAAAACACCCTGTCACACTAGTTTATTGCGCTATTTGGACTCAAATTGTTTAACACCTTAGGAGGGATAAAATATAGATACACATATATTTGTGTGACGATAAATGAATTTTTACTGATCAACTATAATGTGACAAATTCTTAGCGTTTCCTTATTTGTAGGACATATACAATGACATATTCCGCGAGCTCTTTAGTGAAAAGAGGTGAAAATAGGTGATCACTTACCTGGTAGGGTATCTTAGCCACACGGAGGTACGTTTCCAGTTTTACGGCGAATGGACTGAGACTGGGTGCATATGGTGCCCGACTTCCTTGGTGTAATATCACCACATCCTTAGGGTAGGGTAGGGACTTGGATTCATTGCTGATAAAATTTAGAGAAAGGGGGATTAAAATATATTAATATACAATGAAAAAAATACCATAGGGGTTCTATTGTATGATATCACTAGCTTTATAAACATAAAATATGAAATGCATTACGCAATTTTCGTTACCTAAACAATTGTCACAGAAATACATATACCTTGATACAAAAGATATTATAGCACACTTTATCGACAGCTTCGGTACCGGAAACGTGTTCCATTATACGTCTTGTAAAAATGAATCGATCAGATTCGTCTGTAACAATTTATGAATGTTCACAGCCATTCGCTTTAATCCTTCTTAAGAAAGTATGATAATATTGGACAAAGATCTTGCTCCTTAACAACTGAATAGCAACAGTTTATAATATATGTTGAAATCATCGTTATTTAATCCGGAATTAGTTTCCAAACTATACCGATCATAGTTTACAGATGGCAAAAATGCCGCTTTGAGACATCACAGAATACTCTCTGGAGTCGTTACGAGACATCACAGAATTCTGTCTGAAGTCGTAACGAGACATCACAGAATACTGTCTCGAGTCGTTACGAGGCGACAAAGCTAGCCAAGCTGGGTCAGAAAGTCCTTCTTCCAAGGGAACATCAGTGGATTTAAATCGACGGAGAAAACCCTTAATCGGAGGTACTTTTTGAAAGTGTTAGATGCATCAGTAAGCTAACGAGAGATGATCACATCCATAAGTAACTTCCCTTAATATTGTCGGACTGTTTACAAGTACAATTTAGTCTATATTGGTCTTTGGTCTGAGTGTTATTTATTTATCACAATATGAAAAATAATACCACAAATTACAATATGTAACTTTCAATTTTGAAATCATAATAATACGAGCTGTCGACAGCCCCATTATAAGGTAGGTACATAGGCTTACCTCTTTCTGTTACGTCTGTGAAGAATTCCCAGGGCCAGGAATGCCATAACTAGGACGAATCCCCCTATAACGGCCCCAGGGTTCAGGCTGCTCATTACGTTGTCCATTTTCATTATTCCTGTCAATATAAAATATTACTCACATTAACTTCCATAAAATACATTCCAATAACATGGCGACAAAGCATCGATAGTCTAGAATAAATCCTTTCCAGTGTTGATATCGATGAGTTAAGATAAATAGAAAATAACGCGTATTTAATAGTTTCTCAGTTGTAATTTAATAATTATTGAACTACGTATTTTACCATCTACCTAACACAAAGGCCCTCTTCGTCTAACATGTAAATGCTAAAAAGAAACAATTCGGTCAGATTGGTGTATTCTTATGAATGAATAGAAACGTTTCACAAAAACCTGCCTCGGCTGTGTATACTGTATGAATGTTACTCAAGCAGGGTCGGGATTTTCCTTTATACAAATTTATAACGTATTAACAATACCGACCTTTGCGATAAACAGATTGTTCGCCCAATACAATACAAATGTGTGACTGCTTTAGAACAACACCTTTAAGAAACTGTGTTATAATGCACAGGGTGTGTACATATTTACCTCAACCCTCACTCCTTGGTAAGAACTATCCGATGCGTAAAGTTTAAGTATTTTATAATTCACTGTGAATGTGGGGGCGCACCACCCTGTTGGTATAGTTACACGGTGTAGGTAGCTAGGCCAGGTCGGATTGGTGTGCGCATACACAATGCTAAAAGGTTTTTATACGGCTCACAGTTTGATTGGCTAATAATTATTTCCGCACATGGGACGGTAGGTTGACGTCTAAACGCCACATTAATTGTTACGGGAACATTGAGAAATGAGGGGAGCAAAACATGTCACCTAGACATTACCTATAGGCTTAATTATAACGGTCACAAACAGGGAACTAGTTAACGTACTTCCCTGCTGTCCAGGAGATAACCTCTGTAATTAATTTATTACCATAAAAGCGAATGAGCTTTTCCTGCTTGTACATTGTATTTTTTAACGAGTTATGTCACTTGCACATACCTAAAAATTCAGCCAATCAACTAATGGCAACATGATTATTTGTCTTAGGTAATAACAGTTACTTGAACTTTTTATACCCAAATTAATATGACTCCAAAACAATGGATGACGTTTACAATTATGTATACACATTACACAGAAGTCAACAATGATGTTAGAGTAAACCTTAATTTGTTTGTTGTTTATCTTCGTAATATTTATTGTTGTAACGTTTTTTTAACGGTAGATTATTTCCACACTATCAAAAAAATATATTTACATAAAGTAAGAGGACATACTCCTATAAATCGTTGGTATGTATAACCTGACTCTAAATATCAATACGACAGAAAAGATCAAAGGCATAGTGTCTTAGATGGTAGACATTTACCTAGCATTGTATATATAACTGTATGTATAAAAGTTAACGAGATCTTAGTAAAATCACCATGGTGTATTTGATGTTTAATTTCCTATTAAACTTATCATAATAAGATATTTGTCAATATGTTTATGTTGATGTGAACATTGTGTATTGACAAGTCTGAAATCTCTGAAGGAGGTAAATAAAGATTATTTGTTTGTCTTTTTTATACATTATAAAATATGTTGGGCTTTTTATGAATTGTTATTTCATTAATGACGAAGGGAGTGTATGGCTTAAACAGCTATTTTACAGGACAAAGAACGCATGAATACAGAAGCAATTACTAACGTCACTGCTTTGAAGTTGGTGAATAATAAAAGGTAAACGTTTTATTTCCACTTGAAACCTCGAATAATTAGCACAGTAATATCTTGACCCACTTATTTTTCTACACAGCTGCAAAGCTAATTATTATCACTATATCTGATCGATGTCTTCATTTATTTTCAAATTTATGATCAAGTGAATGGGAGAAGAGACTCGATAAAACATCTCTCCTAGTGCTGGCCCCTAAAGTATTATACTGAAAATCAATGGTCAGCTTTATGAGAGAAAACTACAGTCTTGCCTCTATGCTACATCTTAAATAGACATCAGATCAAGGAAGAACCAAATAAAAAGGGTTATAAAATAGACAAATAAAACCCTTAATGGCAGAGATGTAAGTCTCCAGATAAACAAGTTGAGTACTTACATAATTCAAAATCAATTATAAATGTCAAATACAGACATATTTTATAAACGTAAAGCCCCAATTAAACACAAACAGACATGTGAGATATCTTTATGGTAACCGTATGACAATGAACATGGGTATAATAAATATCTTTAAAAGATGCATCAATAATGTAATAATCTGTATAGGAGATAACCATCGAGCATTGAAAAGCATCCTGTCCTTTTGATAGCACACGCTTTCATAACAATAACACTTGATCAAGATACGGAGGTAACGAATGACCAAAAGATATAGAAACAAGTATTTTGGTATTACCGTATTTGCACGAAAGATACATTTTTACACCCCTTGGAGTACTAAACATATTGATAATTGTGACAAATATCTACTAGAAATGTATCAATATACGAGAATATCAAATGTAAAATAAACTCGTCTGGAATTTGAAGGAAACAAGTCTTACCATATACAAGTGAAGTTTCCCTTTCCTTGACTTCCGCGTAGTCACAACGCGAAACACCACTCAAACTGTTACCCAAGTCCCCCCGATATTGTATATACAATGTATTATCTTATCATATACAAGTGAAGGATCCCTTTCCTTGACTTCCGCGTAGTCACAACGCGACACACCACTCAAATTGTTACCCAAGTCCCCCCGATATTGTATATACAATGTATTGTCTTATCATATACAAGTGCACTAAAGAGTTGTTTTGAAGTACATGAAATAGATAACGATATGTATCGTGTCCGCCTTTCTTTTTAGACTTCCTTTTGATCACAACAGGTGGAAACTTATCACTTATCCACTTAATCAGCTAACACACTAAATAAACCCTACTGAGGAGCCGCTTTGAAGTATATTAACTCTACTGGTCATGTGCAAACCTTATCAAATGTTTCCTTTTTCTTCTCGACTGACTTCCCTTTATCAATCTACAATATGACAATAATGGTCACCTAGCTACCAAACATCTACCGGCAGTATGATACTTAAGGGACTATTTAGTAACTAACGCCATGAAAATCACTCAAGTCTGAAATATATCTTCCCGGAAGATTGCTAACGCACAATTAATGAGGTGACCTTTAGCCAACGGCCACTGTTGACCGAGGTACACAAGGAAAGGGAAAGTTGCGCGTGTTGATGTAGTTAAACATGCGCCTTTAAACGTACAACGACAGACTCCCAAAACATTCGATTGGATGACTTTTAATTGGACTGTTTGATAACATTTTAACAAACACTATTTGATAAGATAACAACCTTAAAATTTAGTTTAAAAAGTGTGCATGTTGACAAAATTATGAATACCATTTTATTGATCATCTGTCATTTAAGCAAAGGGCATCTGTTAATATCTCGAATACATTTCCGAATGAAGTTTTAATAGTCCTAGTTACTGAGAATATGTAATGGCCCTTTAACTTTTTGTACGTGTCTACTTAATTTTAATCAAGATATATATTTTCAATTAACATGATCACGTTTTTGTAAATGCCCTGACTGTTTGTTAACCTATCGTTTGGCTGAGGCTGCTTTATAATATATATATAAGCATATATATGTATGTTCATTTCATCTATGTGAATCGTAGAAAATGTGAATAAATAAAATAAAAAATATCAGTAGAGCTAACCAGACTTTAACTACTATACTTTAACTTGATCTAGTTCTTAACGCAGGAATAAACCCAGGGTTACCGGTAAACAAGCCTACCCTATTGCGTACCGAACAGGAATGTCCCCTATCACAAAGCTATCTAGCGCATCATCTCCCAGACCTAAGTTATCAGACACGGCATCAGCGCTTATTTACTGGGGGCTGCGACATAGACATATGTCCACGGACAATGTACATGTATGATGACGGGACTGGACGTAAAGAAATCACATAATAAATTCACACCACATTTATGACTTTTCCTGGAAATTGTTGTAAAAAATGGAAAGAGTAAAAGATATTTGAAAAATGTATTTATGAAAATTGAGGAGCGACACGCTTATGTTGGATTTAAATTTATTTCACAAAAAGGATAGCTCCGATGGTGTGCTAGATAATGTCTTTCATCTTTAAATATCCATCATAAAATTTAAACAAATTTAAAAAATAAAATGTTTCAAAATGTGACGGTAAAACAAAAGTCATTCTACAGAACCTTGAAACAATTTAATCCCTAACCTATTAATATCACTGCATGTTTGATGTAAGTTGAGATGAAACTTGGGATTAAAAGTTATTGTTAGAGACATAATGTATAGCTTTCAATGAGTTTTCTGTTACCATTTTTAGTTTAAACCTCTTCGTTTTTCTTCAAACATTAAGCCACAGGATTTTTCACCAGTAATATTAACACAAACTAGTACATTCCTACGCAACTGTACAGTACCGCCGTGATACAAACACACACAAACATTGAAAATGTATATCACAGCATTCGGAAATCATCTTAATGAAAGGTAAAGTGTCGGTAAATTATAAATGTTTCTTATTTATACACAGCACTTAGAGTATATTTATTACATATGGCACTCTTCGTTGGCACCTTTGTTCTCTTGTTTAAGTACACTCCAAAAAATTATCCCATGTAACACAATCCAACTCCCTAGAGGTATCACCATCATTAGGCCAGACAGACATATTATCTTGTTTTGTATACATGCATGTTTTATAATATTTAGTAAAACAGGAATGTTCAATACGATGGCCGAAGTGAAACATGTACTTACAACGAAAAAAGTGTTATAGTTGTTGAAGGAACACTTAACAAAATAACATGTCAGCACACACTCATAAGTGTTAAACAAGTGCGTGCTGACAAGCCACTTGGTCAGTTTTTCATTTACAACTACACCACTTTTATCGTTGTAAGTAAATGGATCTCGGTCATCGAAGTTAACAGATCGATTGATGGAGTAGCGAGGCATAAGCAGATAATAAGGGATTGAAAGGTTTACCTGTTCATTCGAATTTATAGATATATTACTTGCACGAAAAAATCTGGTTTTGTTAGGAAATATTTGAAGAAAAGATCACCGAAAGTATTAAGCTGAATTGGTTACTTCTCATAGGCGTTAAACAAAGTTGTTTTATTTTAAAAAGGAATCACTCCTGTGTGGCCTCAGTTAAATGTTTCTATATAAAGGGTTTGATTTAATCTCCAAAACCTTTTACTAATAAAATCATGTTTATGTTATTTACACCTATAGATGTTGTGGTATATCTGTACAATCAGATATTTAAAGGTAAATTACCTAGTACAGCGCGATCTTAGAGGGTATACTTTATTTCCGATGTGAAGTTTATATGTAAACACATCTAAGCGCAGACAAGCATACACTTTTTAGGATTGTTTATTTGATAACTGAACGAACGACTTATATTCCCCATTCCCTAAGAGTCCCACCGTAATAAGATTATCAAATGTCTCCAGTTTGATACATCGGTT